TTGTACCGTGAAACATTTTTCTGCCGCTAATTTTGTGTCACACATCTTACAGTTACAGTCAGTTGAAAATATATCATCTCCAAATTCAGCTACAATCTGCTTTAAATGACACGATTTAGATGGCTTTGCTTTAGGCATCGTGATAAAATGAATCACTCTAGTGCAACACAGAACTGAACTTTTCACATTGAGGACCTTTCGTCAAATGTATCTTTGTACGGTCAAGGGTGAGAAACTGAAGGCAGACGGAGTTTTATTGAGCAACAGTACGTGTATGTCATAAAAAGTGAGGGATTCTGACTAGAAATATTTGTAACTAAGGAAATTCCTTTGCACAGAACTTGGAAAGGGCCGCAGTGTGAGTGACCGCTGTCATACCCTGCTGCCAGCTTAAAACGTTTTACGATATGTAATGTCAGCAATTTCTGCAAAACGAATGAAGAGGACAGGACAGGATTACAACTTATTATTGCATACTGTGAAAATTACCACCAAACCGAGAAAATGACCTAAAACTTAAAAAGTGACAAAAATGGCCCATAAAAGTTAATTTCTGTAACCACTAGCTCATCTCCAGGATTTATATATTTATGGGCATCAAATAGGATACAAGGAAGAAAAGATAAGACGTCATCAAAATCTGGGCCCTGGTTATTATATATACAATAGGAACCTCCATTTTATCTTTCTTGATTTAAGGCTTTTACTTAATGTTCATTTTTAATGATCCCAAATCAATAATCTCAATGATAAGTTGCCTCCATTTAAAATTTCCTCCAATCTAGTTTTCAAACACACTGCCCCCCCCAAGAAACTTTGAATGCAAGTTTCATTGTAATTAAGAATAACTGTACCAAAATCTGGTTTGACAGTGCATGTATGTGTATTAATTATACAGATATATAGATAAAACAGATTTGTTCTTCCAAGACTGTATCAGTAAGCTTACACTTTTAAGTTATGACAAAATGAAATTATAAATTTGAGCAATCTACTTGTAATTTATACCTCTGGCCAATGACAAATGACCTGTCAATGTCAAAATTTACTAAATGGACATAAAAAGGGATGTAAACATGATTTATCATGTATATCATGCACATACCTTAACCCTTTAAAGCACTGTGGTTTCTATATGTACCACCCAATATAAAAAAATTGCACTCTGTCCGCAGATCATATTGTGTGTTCTATGTCCTTCACAAGACGAATGACGATTACTTCTCTGAACAGCATTTGATAATTATAATGCCAATGCAGTGTTGTTTATATGAAGTAGAAATTGTATTTTTAAATATTCGAAGAAATTCACGCTTCAACGGGTTACGATAATTCATCCAATGAAAAATGAACTGTCAACAAAGAAACTTACTTAAAGCACACTTAAACATTATTACTTTTAAGAAACGTACACTACATACATACCTTGAGATAATTTATCACTGCAAGAAAGCCTATACACACTATATATCGCTTCAATTGTATTTACATTATACTGGTAAACATTCACACAAACAAATTTACAACAATGTAATATGTTATCTTCGTTTGTATGTTTGGCATCCTGTTGTGCATGTCATCACTATGTAAATATGTCAATCGATCACAACAATTTTATACTTTTAATAAAAGATAGACTCAAATCGTCAATAAAATGAGTTAGTTTATCAAGATATTATTTTTGCTACATGTTTCAGTCATTTGTAAGCGTCCACATTTATTACTGGACTGCGTGTTGCAATTGATCCATTGCTAATAGTCTTGTCATATAAAAGCTTTTGCATAGGATTAATGTTTAAATATATTGAAATACTTGTTTATAATTGGTAAAGCTTATTTAAAATTATTATGTTTTCTAAATATTATCCTATTGTATGTATAGGGGGTTTTATGGGTGGAATGGTACGCGCGCGCGCACACACACAAACACACACACACAATGTGTTTTCAAACTCTTGTCCTTTATGGGGACGTGGGTGTTAATATGAGTATGCATTGTTGGTGCTAATGGTCATGTGTCTTTCTTGGGTGAAATGGGGTGTTTCGAATGTTTGATCCGTTAGTACAAATGTTGATGTTATGCAAGCATACGTTGTTAGTGCTTATGGTCTTGTGCCATCCTGTTTCTAGTGGTTTGTCTGTAAAATTAAGACTATATTGTGAGGATGTGGTTGTGTTATATGCTCTTATAGTAGTTTTGTGTGTACTTATAACTTCTGATGTTCTGTGGTAAGCATGTTGGTTGTGTTATTTGTTGTTCTAAATTTGGTTTATAATTGTGATTATTAATGTCATTATTTCTTATTTTTGTTTTTCTGGTGTGTTGTTACTGTCTAGACATTCTGATTATTTCAGCGAGTTCTCTTATGGTGATGTCTGTGTACATGTTTGTGATGTCAAAGGAACAAAGTCTTATATATGTGCATCTCATTAAGGTTGTGAATGAGGCTTACAGAGTTTTGTACATTAAAGACATTTAATAGTTATATTATAACTTTTAGTATCTTTGCTGTGTGAATTGCTAGTTTATACATGGAGCTATTTTTCCAATTGACTATAGATCAAATTGGTTTACTGTTTTTTTATGTAATTTTATTGTGCTGTAAATGTGTGGTGCACTAGGAATCATGTTAGTGTATTTCCATTTTGTGGCATTACTGATTAAGAAACATAATTATAAACCAAAACTACTTGCAGTTCACCTGCAAGACCACAGATTAGCAATCCTACGAGAAATATTTATTGAACACTTCAAACATACCAGTATCATCAATATACTAAAAAAATCACATAGATTATTTCAGATATGTTGATGATTTATTAATCGTATACAATAAAGACACTACCAATATCGAGAACACCTTAGCAGACTTCAACTCCATACACTGTAATATCAAATTCACTATCGAGAAAGAAACAAAAAACAAATTATGAAGAAAGTCGTCTTCTGGGTTTAGGCGCCGTGTATTCTTCGTTTTGGCCAAAACGAAGAATACGAGTACATGCTGCCTAAACCCAGAAGACGACTTTCTTCATAGTCATCGCTGTGAAAACCTCAAAACTTACAAAAAACAAATTAAGTTACCTGACTTAACTATTACAAATTTACGTAACACACTGACATTTTAACACATTTAGGAAACCAACATCTACAGTTTGAACATACGCAATGGCTTGTCACCAATAAGAACATAGGAATGCCACAATCAATTACCTTATCAACCAAATGAACACATGCCCTATCACAGACACAAATAAGAAACACGAATTGCAATACACAAGAACAATATTACATAACAACTAATGAAAACACAAACCAAACCACACAGAACACACCACCAAAAAACAAACAAAAATGGACCATCTTCATATATACAAGAATACTCACATGAGTATTTAATTGCAGATACTTTTAACAAAAGTGGCATTTACCATCTACAATGTAATAACTGCCCATGAAAATATGTAGGATAGATGGGCACAAATTTTTGAACACACTTTAAGGAACACAGCGAAGCAATGATGGCCAATAAACCCAGCTCCAAATTTGCACAACATACTAGAAACACTTTAAGGAACACAGCGAAGCAATGATGGCCAATAAACCCAGCTCCAAATTTGCACAACATACTAGAAACACAACACAGTACAATAGAGA